GTAGAAAATCTACTAAATCAAGATCGTAAAGATTCTAATAAGGAAATTAAAATTAATAAAAAACAATATCTAAAAAAACCTTTATTTTAAATAAATTAAGAACTTATATAAATATATTAGATCTTCAAGACCTTCTAAAAAATAATAATAGTAATTTTATAATTATTATTTTATTTTTGAGACAATATTATCACTTTTACCTATATACTTACTAACTCTATAGTAAATACTTATTTAATGATAAAAATTAATTTACTATTAATATAATTTAATATTTTATATTCTTAATTTAAAAAAAAAAATAATTTTTATCGCAGGTTTCAATAGCAAGTAAATAACTAATCTAATATATATAATCTATTTAATTATTATTATTAATAGTTATTAATTTTTAAATACTTCATTTCTTATACTTAATTTTAAAAGATATGATATTATACTAGAAAAGATATAATTTATTAAATATAATATTTTATCAAATTAGTAGAATTATAGGTTAATATTAGTATTCCAACTAAGTAATCGTAAAAAATAAAATTAATATTAGATTTCTCATTAATATACTTTAAAATATTCTAAAATAATTTCTAGTTAACTAGACACAATAATATAATGTAATTTAAAAAAACTATAAAGTTTAAAAAATAAATAATTTGAATTTTTAAAATATTAGAATATTTTATTTTATATTTATTAAAGAAGTCCATATAAGGCTATAATAAAAATAAAATAAAATCTAAATAAAAAATTTATAAATATTATTTCCTCTATAAAACTATGAAATCTAGATTATACCCAAATATTATTTTATATATTTTACAAAAACTTACTCTTATTAGTACAATAGAATTTTAGAAATATCTAAATATATACTTTTTTAAAATTAAAATTTTTATTACTTTATTAAGTACTATTAAAAAAATTGTTTTTATAAAATTAATGATCTTCTTAACATCAGAATAAAATTAAAAAAAATCTTATTTGAATAATACTATAATCTAGGAAATATTTTTTTAAAACGATTAAATACTTTATCTCTTTTCCAATATTATAATTATAAAATTTGATTAGAAAGAGAAAATCCGTCTAAAATTACTTCTTTTTATAAAATAGTAATAAAAAAGCTTTAAGCAGTTTATAATTATATTATAAAGAACTCTAATAAGAAATTTATTATTTTAAATTTAATACCCTTTACATCCCCTATTTTAATAATTGAAGACTCTAAAAATATATTTTATTTCTAGATTAATTATTAGCAATTAAATGTACTCATAGAGAAATTCTTATCTAATATTTTTAATTAATAAGATAATAGATTATTTATATAATATTAAAATCTTCACTAAATTTAATATATATTAAGATGTTAAGATTTTCATTATATTAGAATAGTTTCTATTTTAAAAGATCTTACTATATTTTAAACTTCATATAAGATATTTAATTATTATATTTTATTTTTTAGATTTATAAATAGACCTATTATATATTAATATTTTATTAATAAAATATTAATAGAGTATCTAGATAAGTTTATTATAACTTGTATCAATAACATATTAATATATAATGAAAACACTATTAAATATAAACTCTATATTTATTTAATATTAGAGAAATTATAAATAGCTAGTCTGTAAATTATTATCTATAAATATAAATTCTATATTATAAAAAAATTTCTAAGATTTATTATTATTATTATTATTAATATCTAGATGAATCTACTGAAAATTACTATCATTAACTAGAAGATATTAATTATTATATAGAAAATTTAATTTGTTTAAAAATTCTTATGATTTGTATTATTAATTGATTAAAAGTTATAACTAGATTATATGTTTTTTTACTAAAATAATCCAAAAAATTATTTTTTATTTAGGATTAAACTTACGCCAAGACTTTCTATATATTAAAAAAAGTTTTCGTTTTTATTTTTATTTTTATTTATTATAATCCTACTCCTAACATGCCTGGAAATTAATAAATATTATAAATAAAATTATAATTAAAATTTTCTTTTCGCTAATCAATAGAACTTAGTAATTTATTTAGTATTATGTTGGAACTATATTACTTACTAAATATAATTATAATATCTATAATAAGAAATTATTAATTGTTATTAAAGCCCTAAAATATATTATTCTAAATGAAAGAAATTTTAATATATAAATTACCTTAGTATTCTTATAAACTATTAAATACTAGAATACTTCATAATTATAAAATATTAAAGTATCTGATAAACTAGATAAACAAATTTTTTTTATTATTTTATAATTGGATTCTATCCCGTTAAAAATAATATTTTAATTTATATTTTAATCTTTAAATAAGTTTTTATAGAATATTAAGAATAGATTCTTCTATCTATAAAATATTTAAAGAATAAAATATATCTTTCTTTAGACCATTTTAAATTTTAATTATTTATTAATTTAAAACTAGTCCCTATAGAGGAGCATTTATAATAACAAATTATATGTATCTTTTTTATTATTATACTAGGAATAGCTTATTTAAAAAAATATATATTCTAAAGAATAGATAGACTCTTACTTTTTAATAATCTTTTAATAGTTTTAGATAATAGAAATCTATGAGCCTAATTATTTAATAAAATTTATTATTAATCTTTATTTACTCATCCAGACCGTATAGAGATATTAAATCTTATTAAATATTAATGTTATAAAAATATTGAGAACTATAATATATATTACTATATAAATAATGATTTGATTTATAAATAAAAAATATATATTAAAATCCTTTTCTAAAGTTTTTACAAGCTTTTTTAATCCTAGATAAATTAGAATAATATTTTTTATAGATTTCTAAATATTTCTGTGATAGAATGGGCTGGATGGAGGTCTTATCTTATTAGTACCGGCCTAACTGATGTTCTAGTTTTATAGTAGTTCAGCCAGTGTGGTCTGGGTTCTTGTGGTAACGTACTAGGATAGTCATAGAAGTCATGAGATTATTAGTAATAGTTCAGGATCTCCTCACCTGCTATAAAGTAATACTTCTTAGTATTAGGTTATTAATTTTTTAAGGATTAGTCTCTATCTTATAGATATAGATTATATTATTATTATCAGTGGAATCCTACATGTTTAGTAACTAGTTTTTTATTTAATTAATAGGCTTTTTATTTTAATAAGTAGATTCTATTATATTCTAATCTTTCTTTTTTTAATTACTTAAGGAAGATGCCACCTCTTGAAAATTATAAAGAAATAAAATTAGTTAGTGATTAAACTAATTTAGAATTATTCTTAAATACTATTTCTATTATTGAAGAGATCTAATAATTAGAAAATTATATTTATTAGTTAGAGTAAGCTAATAATTTATAATAGAAAATAGTCCATCTCTAGAAAGATTATTTTCTTAGTAAAACTTTATTTAAATATTATCAATTCTTCTCTGAATCTAATAAGGAAAAAGAAGAAATTAAATTTAAAAATATTTTTTACTTTGCATTGAACTTTAATCTTTAGAAATATTAAAAATAAATTATTAATTTAAAATATATATTTTAAAAGACTCTTAGAAAGTATTTTATTAAAAAATATAAGATTCTTATTACTGTTAGCTACATGGACCTAATATATAGATAAAAATAATATTATTTTATTAATAATAAAAGTCTAGAAGAGAGATAACTATTTAAAAAATTATAGCTTTAATTTAAAGATTAGATTCTTATTTTAATTTAAAATACTATTATTCTTTAGTTAAATATTATAATTTAATTTAAATAAGCTTATTAGTAATACAGTTAAGATCTAAAAGAGTTTTATATTTATTTTAATATTTTAGAGTAATATTTTCCCTGTTAGACTAAAAAAGAAAAAATTTTATTATATTTTATTAAGTTATTACTAGATTTAAATTATTATATTTAAGAATATATTCCGTACCTACTTAAAGAATAAAAGAAAATAATATCTATTACTATCTATTACTATAAGTTATAGAATAATAAAAGAAAATATAAATAAAATAATAAATAATTTTATAATTATAAATTATATAAATAGATTTCAAGTTATTATAATAATAAATTTATTATAAATAATTATAATATTTTATATATAATAGTATTAAATATTTTATAAATTATTATCCTATTAAAAATAAAAAGATTTAATCTATTAAAATCTACCAGTTCTTATCAAAGCCAGAGGGAAAAGTAGAGGAGTTAAAAAAATCTTATAATTTTAATTTTATTATTTATAGTAAAGATTATTTATTATTTTTATATTTTTATTTATATTTAAAATAATCTTGAAATTTTTACAGACCTAGACAGTTATATAAAGGTAGATATTATTAGTTATTAATTTATTAAAGTTTATAAACTTTAACATGTTCTAGTTACTATATTTAAAATTAAAATAATTAATTAAATTAATATTCTTATTTATAATATATAGGAAGTTCTTATTATTATTATTAATTCATAAGGAAACACTCAAACTTTTAAATAGTATTATATAAAAATTAATAGAGATCTTTAATTAAATAACAGCCCTGTTTTATTATTAATAACTATATTTTAAGACCTATATATTATCTTATTAGTATGGAATTATTTATAATAATTTAATATACTATTAATTTCTCTCTTTTCTATTATTAAATTTATTAAAATAATTTAAAATTTAATAAAAATATACGCTGTCGTTAAGCTTCCTAAAAATATCTAGTTATCTAAAAAAAAATTTTATAATTTATTATTAAATCTAGAATTATTACCAGTTAAACTTTATTAATTCTGTAATATTTTCTCTATAAATTCTTTTTAATAATTATTTTTTTATGGCTATGTAAACTACGCTATTAATCTTAAATTTAATAAAATATTCTTATATAGTCCTATATATTTTCTTTTAGAAGCTAAACTTAAGGTTCTATAGAAATATATTAAAAAAACCTAAAATTAGATTAAATATAATTTTTTAAAAGTCCTGCAGGAACTTCTATTTTTTTATATTAAAAAAAATAATAGTTTATATCTTTATATAAACTATAGGAGTTTAAATAAAGTTTTTATAAAAAATTATTTTTTTTTATTTTTTATTTCGGAAATTCTTGACAGGGTTTCAAGTAATAAATATTTTTTAAAAATTAATATTAAAAATATTTAATATTAAATTCATATTAAAGAAAGGAATGAATGAAAAATAGTATTTTATATTTAATATAATTATTTTAAATATATAATTATATTATTTAGATTAATTAATGCTCTGGTAATTTTTCAAAATTATATATATATTATATTTTATAGATTTCTTAATAACTTTTATATAATATATCTAGATAATATCTTTATTTTTTTATTAGATAGGAAATCCTATATAAAATATATTTATTAAATACTAGAAAAACTCCGAGAAACTAAGCTTTATATAAAATTATTAAAGTACTCATTTTACCAATCCTAAATTAAATTTCTAGAATATATTATTAATATTAATAGTATATCTATAGATTCTTACTAAATAAATAATATTATTTTATGGTTATTACTTAAAAATTATTATAATATTTAAGTTTTCTTAGGAATTTATAATTTTTATTAATAATTTATTTAAGATTATTTTTATATTATATTATTTTTTATTTCTTTACTTCGTGGAGCAGTTAATAGATAAAAATCTAGAAAAATCTAATTAAATCTATATAAATAAATAATTTTTTATTATTTAATTATTACTTTTTAACAAGTACTCTTATTAATATATTTTAATTCTATAAAATTTTAATATTTAGAAACTAATACATCTAAAGAAGGCATAAGTAAAATCCTATCTTAATTTAATAATAAGAGTATATTTTATTTAGTAATTTTTTAGTTTTATAAATTTTCCAGTGTTGAGCTAAATTATAGTACTTTAAATTAAAATTTATTTACTATTATTTATTCTTTTAAATAATAGTAATAATATTTTAAAAAGATTTTTTAAATAATTAAAGTCTTATTTAATTATTTAAACTTATAATCTTTCATGTATTAAACCAAAGTTAATAAGAAATAAATCCAATAATTAATAAGTTTAATTTTTTTTAATTTTATTATTAAATATAAAATAGAAAAATTAAATTTAATAAATAGATTTTCTAGAATATTTACTAGATCTTAAATAGAGTCCGCTCTTCAAGAAAAATTTTTAACTCTAATTTATAAATATTTCATGGGTGTATCATCCCTAATAATTAGAGATTTAATAAATATAAAATCTTAGTTTAAATTTTAAGATACATAGGATTATCCTGGATTTAATATTTATATAATATTAAGTTTAAAAAACTTTAATAGTTAGGTTAGTATAGAGACAGCTAACTAAGCTGCTTGGAAGAATTTATTTTATAAGATATTTATTTTCTAATTTATAATAATACGTGTGTGTACCATAGAAGTTTTATATTTATAGAATAAAGATCTAAAGACTTAATAAGAAAGATCACTATTTAATAAGAATAATTAGATTAAAAGTATTAGACTATTAAAGCTATTAGCTATATTTATTTTAAAGACTATTTTTATATTTTATCTTCTAAAATATTATGTTAAATACTTATCTATCTATATTATAATAATTTATTAGCGGGATATTTTAGAAAGATTTAAATAAAAATTTTATTATATAGAAAATTCTATTAGAGTGGACTATATAAGAATATAATTAAATATATTTAAATTTATTTAATATATTAAGATAATACAACTCTAAAATATTAATTATATAGTAATTTTAAATTATTATTAATTTTTTTTTATTTTTTTATAAAATTATTAATAAATTTTATTATAGGATTACCTCCAATTATCTAATATTAATAAACTATTAATTTTATCTTTATTATTATTAATTAATTTTTAAAATACTACTTTTTCTTTGCTATTCTATTAACTATAATAATTTTTAATTTAACTAAACTTTTCCATCAATAAGTTAAACTAATATTCGGATCTTTTAATAGAATTATATCTAATTAAGATTTAATATTCACTAGTAAGTTTTGGTCAGATTTAAATTATAATAATTATATAATCTTAAGGCTTTCTACTGTATTTTATTTATAAATTAATAACTAAATAGAAAGACTAAATTAAATCTTAAAATATTATTTAAAATATTATTTTATTTAATTTTTTATAAATTAGGCTGCAATGTTGCTAATTATTTAATTTATTTATAATAATATAAATAATATAACTATTAGATAACTATCTAATAAAATTCTTTATAACTATTTATTAGATTTCTATATTAGAATCAAGGATGATTCTTAATAATAAGAGATTCTAGCTATATAAAATAGAATCAAAAAAGTTAAATAAATAAGAGAATAATTCTAAAAAATATAGTAAATAGCTACGGAAAAGTAAAAGGAACACTATAATAAATATAAAAAATTATTCTATTTTAAAAAAAAGATTTAGTTAAATTATTAATTTAGAACTTATATTTTAAGAGATCAAGAAAGCTGGCTCCAAAGTTTATAAGATTTTTTTAGATTTTAAAATAAATTAGATTATAAACGTATTACTTATATTTACTTAAGAAATATAGATAAATCTATAATATATTTTATATCTTACTATTAGAGCTGTGGAATATTAGTATAAACTATAAAGAAATACTATTAATACCAGAGTTAGACAATAAGGAAGAATAAAAAATTAAAAAAATTAAAAACTATTAATAATATAATAACCAAGACTACTATTTAATTAAATAGAAAGAATGGTTTAGTAAATATAATTAATAAATCTTTAGTAAAAACATAGCTAATATATAAGAATATATTAAAGATTATTAAAGTTAATAAAATCACGGAGGACTATAATTGAATAATCTTTATATTAGATATATATCTTACGGATATACTAAGTTATATAATTTTTTTTTAATTTTTTTAACTATAAGTTAAATATACTAAGAAATATATTATATTGTCCTATATAAAATAATAGGAAATATTTATATATATTTAGCTAGTAATATCTCTGAACTAATACCAAAGTATTAATAAATATTAGATATTAATATATTTATTAAATAGCAAGGATATACATAGAAAAATTATTATAAATAATTTAAACTTTTAAAATTATTATTATTTTTTCTTTATTTTTTAAATCATTCTCTGAATTACTATTAAAGAATATTAAAATATTAAAAAAATATTTATAAATTACATCTATGACTTTCTGGAATAAGATAGTTATTACTATAATTTATATAATAAAACCTATATTTTCTAGTAATAAATATAAAAAAATTTATTTATTATATTAGTAGAGCTCCAAACGCGTTACATTAATACTAAAATAGAGAAATTAGCGTATTATAATATTATACTAAATAATTAGATACTACTAGTATCTATAAATGTTTATCTAATATTTAGTTAATAAATTATCCTAGAAAATAGCTATCTATTAATTTATATTTTTCTTTAAGTTCTTAAGATAAAGGCTTATAATATGGGTAGTTTCTATGTTTTTAAAAATCTTTATAAGATTAAAACTATTAATATATAAGTATATATATAGTTTATTTTTTTAATCTTCAACCTCCAGTAGCTTATTAATTTATTAGAGAATATTTACTAAATTATAGACATTACCTAGCATTCTTTTTAACGTCTAGTTATATTAGTAAACAAATAATGTATTAATACATAGAATATTTATAAAATTATATTTTTTATTTTCTTTATAATAGTGTTAGTAAAGAATTAAAGCTTTATTATTAAAAATATACTAAATAGTAAATAGAACGCTGGTAGCAGTATTATATTTCTTTAAATTAAATTAAAGATAATATATATAAAAAAATACTTAGATTTAATTACTAGATTATAAATAGCATAATGCTTCACGGTTCTGCGGGTATAAGATATTATAATAAATTTTTTTAATAAATAATAATAAAAAAATATAAAAATATAATATAAATACTGACTGCTAAAAGAATATAATATTTAATAAAAAAAACTATCGCGAAGGATAAGAGAAGTATAAAAAAAAAAAAAATAATAATACTAATACTAGTATTATAGTAGGCTACTATCATGTTAAAGATAAAATTATTCACTAATCCTAACTATAATAATAATAATAAATATAAATATATTATAATACCTTATACTTCTCTTACTTTATAAGAATATATTAATAATTATTCTAAGACTCATTCCCTGCTTTTCGCTATGCTTTTATTATAAAACTATTTATATATTACTTTCTGAGCTAGGAGGCTCGGTTTAATAAGAAAGAGAATAATTATAATAAAATAAGCTGGATGGAGGTCTTATCTTATTAGTACTAGTCTAACTAATATTCTAGTTCTATAGTAGTTTAGCTAGTATGGTCTAGGTCCTTATAGTAATATGCTAGGATGGTCATAGAAATTATAAAGTTATTAGTAATAATTCGGGATTTTCTTATTTATTATAAGATAATGTTTCTTAGTATTAGACTACTGATCCTTCAAGGATCAGTCTCTATCTTGTGGATATAGGCTATATTGTCGTTATTAGTGGAATCCTACACGTTTGGTGACTAGTTCCTTATCTAGTCGACAGGCCTTCTACCCTGACAAGTAGATCCTATCACAATTTCTAAAAGACCGCCACAGTTTTAATATAGTATTTATAATAAGAGACTATTTAAATAAATAAAATATTTTAATTCTATATATAAAATCTATATTTATATAAGATATAGCCATTGCTTCTTTAAATAAATATATCTATAATTAAAATCTTTAAATATTATGATATTTAATAAAAGAATTTATTACTGAATTTTAAAATAAATTATATTATATTTTATAAGTAAAATTTAATAAAAAGATTTAAACTTTCGACAGTATACTATTCTTAAATTAATAAGTAAATGAATATATAATCTAAGATCTAATTCCTCTTATAAATCAATATTAAAATAATTAGTTAGAATTCTTATCTTTAATTAATTTTATCTTTCTTATACTATTATATAACTCTACTAAACTATTATTCTTTATAGTAAAAAGAAGATATAAGCACTATTTTATATTTAATTAACTATCTTTTAAAATATTAATTATTAATAAGTCTAAGTCCTAGTCTAGCATATAAAATAGATACAGAACTTTATAAAAAAAATATATATGAAATTTAAAATATTTAAATTTATATTACTAGCTATAAATATCGCGCGATCAATTTCAATATTTTAAAATAAAATTTATATAAATATAAAATATTAATATTAGGACTAGCCCTCCTAAAACTTATTTAAAAACTAGTATAATCTAGTTCTAACTATTAAATAATTAAAATATATATTTTATATCTAATTATCTAATAATATAATAGT